GCAACAGCTGGTCCAGAAAAGAGGAGATAAAATGAAAGGCAAACGCAGCCTTCCAAAGTTTAATAGTCAAAATGCTCTGTGGCAGCTGAGCCCCCACCTCATCAAATCTGCCAGTGAACACACAGACCACTGAGTGGGGCAAACGAACCCAGGCGCTGGGGGCCTGAGAAGGTTCTTCCCCAGTCTGGGCTCTGGCTCTTTGTTTCAGATGCATTGTCTTTTCACACAGCTCATCAACCAAACTCTCCAACTGTTTTACAATGTCGTAGAATGATGAACGCTTCGGTCACAACCCGTGTGGCCACACCACAGGCCAGAGTGGCACTGGCTCTGTCCAGGAAAGAAACCATTATGGGGGGAGGACCCCTAATCTGTTAGGATCTATAAAACAAGAGTGACTATAATGGAATTTAACGTCCACTAAGAGTTAAGTTCCTAAACATACAAATAAATAGCAACTCCTAAAAAGGCACAGAGGCTTGACTTCTTGTTTCATTTCAAAAATACTGTTTAACTGGTATTCGTCATACCGGGGAGAGGAGACAGAATCTACCGCGCGCGCCTCAGTGTAGCTTGAATATGACCATGGAATGTGTAATCTCTAAACTACTGGCAGATGAAAATGGAGACTCTCCCCAAAATGGAGACCCCACTACGAGCATCAAACTACAAGGGCTTTAGCAAGAGCATGACCAACAACGTATTGCTGGGAGACACACCTGTGACCCACCACATACAGCTCGCCTTACCTGCCGTCTATATTCTTCAACCGGATTATAAACCATCCATCCGTCCTCATCAAACTTTTCTTCATTTAAAAAGGCAAATAATGGCTAAGGGTAAAACAAACAAACAAACAAAACCACTATTAAATCAGTAATGTTTACTGAGAAAGAGTTAAAGATTTTACTAATAATCTATCCTATGATTTTGCACAAAATTAATTTTATTAGATTTGCCAACCATGAAATCACAACCCAAATGAAACCTTTAACAAAGAAACAGCCGTGGCGAATTCTGCACTGGCCGGCCTACATTACCTTTTCTCTTGCATAATAATTAGAGGCTCTGGCTACAAAGAGCCCCTTTAACGTATTCAGTTGGGTGTGGTGCCACAAAAATCATCTTTCCAGGCCAGAAACCATGTGCCTGTTTTACACATTACCTGTGCTATGTCGTGTTTTTCTTTAGGTTTTCATAAACTATTTGGTTCAATTTGAAGCAAGTACTCTAAAAGCAATAGCTGAGGTAAACGGCAGTTGAAAAAAACATTAAAAAGAACACAAAATTCAGGAATGGTGTTTGGACAATGTAACTGTGTGAAAGGAGAACAGACCCAGACAAGGCGTTCGGGAGAGGCTGCACCGTGAAACGGCCCTGCCGGCCTCCTGTCCTCTCTGCTCACTCCTGGAAAAGCCTGTGCCTTCACGTATCATCCATCCCTGGACTCCCTGTGGGACTCTGGCGGACTAGTGGTAAGAAGCTGCACTGCAATCTCAAAGGCACTCAGTTCAAATCCACCAGCTGTGCCGTGGGAGGAGGATGGGCACTCTCCTCCTGTGCGATTTACTGCCTCTAAAAACCCACCTACGAGCCAGTTAATGGGCTGGTTCCGACTCGATGTTCCGTACCAACAACACTTTGTCCCCTCAATCCCTCTTACTCTCCAGGGCCCCTCGTTTGTTGTTCGGTGCTGTCCTGTGCCACCCTCATCATCTCTGAGCACGTCTGACCCCATCTCCACTGTCATGTTCCAGTCCATCTCCTGCAGCTTCTTCCTCTTACTCACCCTCCCCCCTTGCAAGCATCATGTCTAAGCTCCCTGTTACGGACTGAGCTGGAGACACACACAGACACAGAGAGAGAGAATTGTAATCTCTGTGCCTGCAGCTGTAACTGCACTGGAGAATGAGCTGTCTCTGTCACAGTAGGAGGCAGGATCAGTGCACAGTGTGTCTTCCATCAATGTCTTTTGGGATGTGAGAGAGATAAAAGCTGCGAGCAAAGGCAGCACAAGGGGAGCAAAATGTCGAACCACCGGAAGACCACCCAGAAGCAGCAGCTCATTAAAAGACAAGGACTTTCCTCCAGAGCTAATCGGGAGGAAAAGCCTTCACCTTACAGTTGACACCTCAAATTCTTCCTAAACTGTGGGGGGGAAGATTCTTTGTTGTTAAAGCTACAAATTTTATTTCTGTTACAGCAGCTCTAGACACCTAAGGGGAGCTCTGGTACCCCAGTGTGCTGCCAGCCTGAAGGCAGAATGTTTGAATCCACCAGCTCTCCGTGGGAGAAAGGTGGGCAACCGCCTCCCATGCTCCCTACAGCCACCAAAGCCCCGCGGACTGGGGAGCTAGGAGTCAGTTCTGACTCTATGCCAATGAGCTAGAGAACTAAGAAACTGGCCCTGCTATGAGTATCTTGAGAACGTTGACACGAACTCACCCAGAGCCAAACTCGTGACTCCCCTTAACCAATCCTGCTCCTCCCATGATCTTCCCTGTTGGAGTAAAAGACGTCATCCTTCCAGCTGATTCCCTCTGGTGGCCAAGGGCTAACAAGCTGAGCTGCAATCCCAAAGGCACCGGGTTCAAATACACTAGCTGCTCAATAGGAGACGGATGGGCAGTCTCCTCGGAAGTGATTTACTGCCTCTGAAAGCCTGTTAGGGTCAGCGATGGGCCAGATCCAACTGGGCACCAGCACCTCTGATCCACCACATGGTATGCATGTGAAAGGTGGACGATAAGAAAGTCACAGAAGAAGAATCAAGGCTTCTGCACTGTCATGTTGGAGAATCAGACCGAATTTCCTACGGACTGCCAATGAGCAAACAAACCTGTCTTCGAGGAAGTACAAGAGTCTCTGTTCCAGGCAAGGATGGCGAGATTTCATCTCACACCCTTTGGTCATGTTGCCAGGAGGAACCAGTTCTCAGCAAAAGACATCATGCTGGGAAGAGGGAGGTTCAGCCAAAGAGAAGACGCTTCCTACGTAGATCGACTGACATGTTGACCACAGTGATGGGCTCGAGACAGGACAAGGTTCTGCTCTCTGATTCACAGGGTCACCACACACATGGGAGCACCTAATGCAGCAGCTGAGCAAGTCAGAAACTGGCGCCATCCTCACCTCTCCCTTGCTACCGCCATGGCTCAAGCCTTCACCATCACTCCCTTGTATTATGTCAGTAACTCGTCACAGAGGAATCAAGTCACTCCCTTGCCCCGAATCTTCCTTGGTTTCTCATCTCACTTGGAGTCAAAGCTGAAGGCTATGCCCCCAGGCCCAGCACATCCTCCCTCCTTCCCTTGTCACTGCGCTCCGATCACGCCAGCCTCTCCTCATGGCTTCCTCTTCATTTCTTCCCAGTCTCGGCTCAAACTTAACTATATCCAGTGAATCCTCCTGAAAACTCTACAGAAAACCACCTCTCCCAACAATGGTACTCCTATTCCCTGCCCAGTTTCCTTTCCCCCATTGTTTTGGACATCATTTTGACATATTGTATATTTGTTTGTTTACTGCTGGACCCCAATGTCCCCTCCTCCAAGACCGCAGGCTTCTTGAAAGTAACACTTGTTTTGCTCATACCCTCTGACCTCAGCAACCACAACAATGACAGGCCCACAGAAGTCAGCATATGTATTGGTTGACAACTGAATGAAAATCCAAACTCACATAACCCAACACAAGCTCTTTTTCTAGGACTGTGTCTGGGCACTGTTCCTCCAAGTATCTTGCTGCCACCCCTTTCCCTTCGATTATCAGCCAGTTACTTGCATACGGTGTTCTCTTCCCTACACTATAGCAGATTTCTGCAAAAGTACTGCTTAGCACCAGCAGTTTTTTAATAGCAAGAGGTTCAAGGTGAAGAGTGATGAAGAACATTCTCTCCAGACTTCTTTATTCATGAAGTTTCCAAAAGCATGAGGCACCTTCAGCTGGTCTCCACACTCGCAGCACTAGTCCTCAAACTGTCACCATTGCTCCTCAGAAATTTGGAGAGATCCCTGACAGTGGGCTTTCCCAGTGAGTATGTGTCCTGATCTCCTGACTGCTGGAACCAAATGTATTGATTGTGGGTCCAAGTAAGATGACGTCATCGACATTGTCAATCTTTTCTCCGTCTAGCACGATGTTGCTTATATATACTCATTTAACTCACAGCAACCCTGTGAACAACAAATCTGAACCTCGCTCTATCCTGTGCCATCTTCACTGTCTGTACTGAGCCACTGTCGTGCCCACTGTGTCAATCTATCCCACTGCGGGACTTTCTCAACCTCACCGACCCTCAAGCCTTCGTAGCATGACTTCTTTTCTAAAGACTAACCCCCTCCTGACAACATGCTGAAGTTTCACCATCTTGTCCTCTAAGGAACACCTGGTAGAACTTTCAAGGTAGAACTCTTTGTTATTTTGGCAGTCTATGGTATATTCCATTCCCTTCTCCAACATCACAATTCAAAGGCAATTCAAATCAATTCTTCTTTGGTCTTCCTTAATCACTGTCCAACTCTTAGATGCTTAGGAAGCAACTGAAAATTCTCTGGCTTAGCTCGAGAGAAATTTCGTCTTTAAACCGATGTTATTTGTCTTTGGCACTTTGGAGAGATCCTTGGTGGCATGTTTTCCCAGTGCAACAAGTCTTTTGGTTTCTTGACTGTTAACTACCCAAAGTGTTGACTCTGCATCCAAGTAAAAGGAAATTCATGACAACGTCAGTCTTTCCTCCGTTTTGGTGCTGTGGTGAGGACTTTTGTTTTCTTAACGTTGAAGTGTAACACATGTTGAAATCTTTGATCTGAAGAAGCATTAGGTCTTCTTCACTCTGCAACCAAGGCTGCCATCTGCACAGCGCAGGTTCTTGACAAGTCTTCCTCCAATTCTGATGCCACATTCTACCAACTATAATCCACTTAAATTAATCAATGACACCAGGGAGATGTTTCATCATTTCATAACTATCAGATTATATCATTACATAACTTCTGACCCACTAAGAATTATGGAGTAGTCAGGTGACGCATATTTTGAGGGAACACATATTTTGAATATGAATCATTGAAACTATAACAGTAACTGAAATCTGCCTTTAAGACTCTAGGCCTGCGTGGACTTTCTTGAACTGATGAAGTATGCTCATTGGATGTAGACTCACAGAAGGACCATGGTGGTAATGGTACATGAGTCACTGGCAGGGGTGCCCAGGGAGCTGAGTCTCAGCAGAGGCCTTTGGGGTGGGTGGGTGGACATCTAAAGCTGTGATCCACCACATGCCTACATGGCAACCTTGGGTGTCACCTGAGGTTTATGTGCCAGTGTTCTCATCTGTAATGGAGCTAATAAGAACCTCTATCCTATCAGGCTGTAGTGATGATTACATGAGCTCCAAAATATAAAGTCCTTACAACAGTACCTGGCAAATAAGAAGTGCCCAGTGAATGCCAGCTGTCGTGTTAGTAACAGGCCATTTTTCTCACTAGATGTACGTTTTCCAGACTATTAATAACATAATTGTGATAATAGATAGGACACTTTAAGTAATCTCAAAAAGATACAAATAGAACATTCTTATTTAGAACATTATTCTTATAAACATAACATTACTTGTACCTTGATAAAGGATTAGTTGAAAGTCTTCTAAATTTCAGTATATTAAAACCAGAAAACATCTTAACCAGAAATGCAAGTCAACGCTATAGAGCCGAGTCCAAATCTTTGTGGCCTGTAGCGCTGAGCAGAACCCCTGTGAGGCTGTAATCTTCATGAAAGCAAGCTGCCTCATCGTTCTCCCTTGGGGCAGCCAGCGGGCTGAAACCACTAACCT